TCAAATTTTGATAGATGAACAGTTTTAGTCCCCAAACTTTAGATGAAAATAAATTTGGCATTCAAACTTTTTAACTTTTGAACACATTTAGTACCCTTGACGGTTTTTTGCCAAATTGCTATTTGAAAGAGTCACATGTCTCGCAATTATTAATAAAAAAGTGCCACAAATGTAAAATATCCTTTTGATAAAATTATTAGTTTTTAAATTTAGTACTTAGTGTCATAAGGTTATTTTACTTGATAAAATTATTCGTCCTTAAACTTAATATTTAGTGTCAAAAGGATATTTTATGTGACACTTACAGTCAGAAGAAAATTTTACATTTTTTTGGCCTTTTTCTTATACAAATAGTTGCCAGGTATATGGCTATTACATAACTTTTTTTTATAGTAATTTGGAAAAAAAATCCGTTAAAGGTACTAAATGTGCTCAATAGTTAAAAATTTGGATATTAGATTTATTTTTGTCCAAAATTTAGGGATTAAAACTCCTCATGCGTCAAAGTTTGAATATCAATACTGCATTTTTCTGCTGCTCAAAATATTGAGCACCCGTGACCAATATTATCCTGAATATCGAACTGGTGGTGAGGCCCCCATCCCCCAAGAACAAGAACAGCTCCAGGAGGAGGAGGAGGAGGAGGAGGAGAGGTCTGGGCTGCTGAATCACGTATTATTAACTCTCGCTGGTGGCAAGTAGCATGCAATTTCGCTTCGCAGTCTTATTTGACTCAATGAGTGGTTGATCTGAGGGATGGATTGGAGATTGGGACTGGAGAGAAAACCTACCAGGCTTACCTAATAAAAAATGCTTGGTCTAATAGAGGTAACCTTTCCAGGATGCAGATTGTCGTTGCTGAGTCAAATTTTAGATGGTGGATTTTGACTATGACCCCGTTTTGCCTGGGTTTGGAAATTTCAGTACTCCATCCCTCCCACACATTTAGTCCTGTTTCGGGGGATTCAGGCTTGTCTTCAATAGCACAACAAATTTCAAATGAATTTGGTGTTAGTTTCAAAAAATACGTGTAGCACAACCTTCTTGTTTGGATTGTAAATTATTTGAGATATTTTTACTGTAACATTTTTTTGTGATGTGATGTATATGAGATAAAAAGATAATTGAAAAAATAAAAAGGTGTATTGAAAATTATAATGGTGATGTAAGCAAATATATTTGGGCAAATAATCTCCTATCCAGACATTCGCGTGCACCACTCTTCTGTGCATTTAGTGTGAGAGGCTCGCGCTACACCAAATGCAATATTTGTAATTGATTAGTGCATTTTTGGGCTGGTCAAAAGATTAAAATGTAAGTTATATTTAGGGGCATGAGATGGAAATGGGGAAAAAAAAATTTTTTTGCCAATTTTGATAAGTGATAATAATTTTGGAACAGAAAAAAAAATGTATGACACTTTCAATGAAACGTAGTGAATAATGCTATAGTTCTGTTAGGTGGACTAAAAGACTCTCAAATGGAGTAGACAAGGAGTCTAACCAAAGTTAAATCATCAAGAGTCAACAATAAATCGATTTAGCAAAGCATTTCATGCAAATTTCACCATTCTCTTTTCAAATTTTGTAATGAAGTACTAATTGACTAAGCACTGCATTGGCACTCATAATGGAGCAGTAGTAACTTTCAGTAAATTTGAAATGAGTCCCTCACAAATGGAACTAATTAAATAATTGCATTTTGGACCCTAAACTGATGGGCTTTTGCAATTTAATCTGCCAAAAATTGTCCACTGGAACGTAATGAGTAACATTAAAATTAGTTCCAAAGATTAAATCTTGTTTATAATCTATATATTTTGATATTTTTTAGGTTAAATTCTAGTACGATTTTTCTTTGCATAGTAGTAGTGTTTATTAGGGTATTATTATTCTTTTGTCCTAACCAATTTTTTTTTTTTTTTTTTTGTCAAACTTTTGTCCTAACCAATTGCTTAACCAAAATAATCATACAATCCTTTGTGAACAAACTTGGACATAATCATACATATAATTATAGGGAATCAAATTTTGTTTCGGAACAAAACTTGGACATAAACTTGGAACAAACTTGGAAAATAATTGAATTTGACACAAACTTGGACATAATCGTACATATGATGATAGGGAATCAACTTTTGGAATAACACCTGAAAATATATGGAAAACATCATTGGAGGAAGCCACTAAAGTGGCAAGCCACTAAAGTGGCAAGCCACAAATAGTGGTCAGTGGTAGGCAAGGTTTGAACTGTTAACCTTTCATCCACAGTCAAGATTTAAAGTTTTGGTGGTAGTAACCAAGAGACCAAATAACTATTGGCTTGAAAATAAGTGAATTTAGTCTTCTTATTTTGTTGCCTGGTTGCTGCTTGTAAAAGCTGGAAAATTCTGCGAGTGTATATATTTTTTCTTTTTGTTGCTTGGTGTCTCGATAAACGGAAAGATTTCGTGAAATTGCCGGTCATTTCCTGATGTAATGTGGATTTGATGTCCTGCTCGTGTTTTCACATATAAATAGTTCTTGTGGTTATGAATTTTCTAAGAGGCAGATCATCCAAATCACTTATGACCTCGCCTCTTAGTTAGATTAGGCAGGCTAATTTTATCTTAGGGTGCGTTTGATAAAACTGAATTCTGAAAATTGAAGTTTGAAATCGGAAATCTGAACTTTGAATCCGTTAATTTATTGAATTGTCAAGTATTAAATCTAATACATTTGAGTATATGTCACGTTTCAGTGACAAGTGAATAGCTTATCACTTAAATTATGGGAGCAAGTTTTGCTTAAAAAATTTAGTGCCACTTGATTAATTCGTATATTCAATTTTTGATTATGAAACGGTTTGATTATATTAAGATCTGATTCCATTAAATTCACATGTTGAATTGGATTATCAAACACTGGCTTAGCTATTACGTCAAAAACAAAGAACTTCACTTGGAGAAGGACGTCTTTCATTAAGTAGGATTAGTATCGAGACATTTATACTATTATTTTTGTCTTTTCTACGAGCATATACGTCAATGTCAGTACACTAATGTCCCCCTCTTTCTTGTTAAAATATTTTGTGCCTCCATTAGGGGAACTGTAGCATTTATTACTAATTCATTAATGAGGCATTTCTTTTTCAAAAAGTCTAACTAAAGAATTAGAATTTCCGTCCAACCCCCGTACCTATCTTTTCCATTCTAGGAGCCACCACCAGCCGTATCGCGTTTTTAGGCAAGGATCCGTTTGAATAGAAGAAAAGTTGTACGGCGGGAATGTGAAATGAAGGAATATCTCCAACCACCAGTATTTAGGCGGGTGATCACCGTTAATGCATTAAAATTTGATAGAGTGAGTTAATTTGTCATATTAAAGTGGCTTTGCTCAAAAAATTTAGATGTGTGCGTAACACATCCGCCTGATCTGGGGTGATTCAGTTCCTTTCGAGTTATTTTGAGACCTCTTCAGGTCCCCCCTTCCTTCTTATAGTCTAAGATACTCCCTCCATCCCACTTTGATAGTCCTGTATTCCTTTTTCATCCGTCCCAAATTGTAGTCCACTTTTCAATTGAAGAATGTAGTTATATTTTAATTTTCCTAAAATACCCTTATTCAATGTAAGTAGTTATTACTATAAACCTACCCCATTTAATGAGAGTTGATTCTTTTTTTACCATCAATTCAAGTTCCCATAAAATTGTACCATATTTAATGTGAGGGCATTTTAGAAAAATAGCAATCTAAATTTACTTTTCCAACAAAGTTAACTACTTTTTCTTAAATTTTGTGAAAAAAGAAACAGGACTATCAAAGTGGGACGGAGGGAGTAATCAAACGGTACACCTACCACATCACAACAACAATTCACTTAGGTCCCTCCCCTCTTTGCTTTCAATTAATGTAACTTTTCTTGTAAATAAAACAAATTCATTCGCTATTAACATAAGCAAATGAAATTACTAGAATGGGTTATCTCCATTCCACCAAACACTCATCATCAATAGAAACTGTGACTTGGGTTTAATCAAATATGGAAGTAAAGCTAAATTCCAATTTAGTAACTTCTTATCCTGTCAATTTTAGCAAATGTAGGTAGCGTTAGGTGTATATGAACTCCTATGCAATGAACTATTAATGCTAAAAATCGCAACGAATCTTTTGTCCCGCTCACTTGACATTCTCTGCCCCACTTTTTATTATATTAATATTTCTCCTTCATAAATATCGTATTTTAATTCTTTTTTATTTCCTCCAAATCCAATAACTATTAATTGAGTAAAAAATAATAATAATAGTCTCAAAAAAGCAATATACAATAGAAAATTAAAAATATAGCAAAAAATGTCATCTTTTGTGTATTTTGATTTTTTGAATTTGTTAAATTTTGTGTATTACTACTTAGTTAATAGCTGTTAAATTTTTAAAAAAATAATAAAAAATAAAATACAATATTTATGAAAAAAAAATACCATCAATATAATTAAAAAAAAAGTATAACAGAAGATCCAAGATCGGAAACTAAATCCCATGCTCTATCTAAGCCACGTGCAAGAAGCCTAACACCACAGAGCTCTGCATGTGAGGTTGAGTCCAAATGTGATGAAGCCATCCTTTTGCCCCAAATGGACACTTGGGGTTGGGGCCTTGTCTGCTGATGCGTTCGCCCAACAGCCAACGGCACATGTATTAGCATGCATTAGCATGTATTAGAATGTTGCACGTAATACATTACCATAATTAGACCCCTCACTTTCCAAACCAAATTAGCCTAATTTGCAACAAATTCGCTATCATTCACTTTCCTTTGGTTGTTGCTACATCCCTCCCTCCCTCTCATCAATATCCAGAGGCTCAGCAGAGTAAATGAGGTCCTTACTCGTTAGGGTCTCCCCTTGTCTTACTGTTTCTGTTGTCTTTCTTGTTTATCATCATGTCAAGCTAGTTCTCCTTATCCTTTTCCACCATGCATCTCACGCAAGAAAAGCAAAGAGAGGGACCCCCTCCTCTTGGCTCCATATGTCAAAATCCCAAAACGCAACACACGATTTTTGTAGTGGAACATGCAAATGCACCGTCGATTACTGCTGCTGCTGCTAGTCTAGTTCTACTACGTGCCTGGTCACAGCTCACAGCTCACAACTCGCTCGCATGTGTTCATACAACATCCATATCTTCTTGCTCCCCCATGTCCATGCATGTATATATATATATGTGCAGCCGTACTTGAAAACCAAAACCAGGATTCATCGATATAGCTAGAGCTAGAAGTTTATTGCAATTAAGGTCCCATGGCCATCAACAATGATGTCCTCCCCTCCTCCTCCTCCTCTTTCTTTATATTCGCCTCCTCATCAGCTTTCACAGCTCTGGTTGTCCTCCTCCTCCTCCTTTTTCTTTATAATAATAAAGTTGTCAAGCCCAGGAGACGCGACGTTAAGTCTCGTTTGAAGCTTCCTCCTGGAAGCTATGGATGGCCGATAGTGGGCGAAACGGCGGAATTCTTCCGGAGGTGCATGGAAGGAGCGCCGGAGACATTCATCAATGACAGGGTCGAAAGATACCAGTGTGATCGTGTCTTCAAGACTTCGCTTTTCGGAGAGCGTGTGGCCATACTCTGCGGAGCCTCCGGTAACAAGTTCCTGTTTAGCAATGAGAATAAGCTGGTCCACGTCTGGTGGCCGGCCTCCGTGAGAAGGTTGCTCGGGCCTTGTCTGGCAACCAGCGTAGGGGATGAAGCAAAGATGATGAGAAAGATGCTGTCATATTTCGTTAATCCTGATGCATTCATGCGTCTGTACTCTAACACCATTGATTCCGTCACGCGCCAACATATCACCACTCATTGGCAGGGTAAGTACGCCCGCAAATGCATATATATATATATATATATATATATATATATATATATATAAGAGTACTAGTACTAACTGATTAACCTATCTGGCTAGGTTACCATCACATCCACCATATCATGTACTTGCTAGTATATATATAGTACAAACATCAATTCAATTCAATGACGTTAGGCTCTATCAGCGGTGGGTTGGAGTCTAGTCGAGCTCGAGTCGTTGTAAAATAACTAAGCTTGACATCGGATCTGAGCTCGACCTCAATTTCAATTTATATTACTTGATCTCGTACTTGAATTTGAGTTTAATTAAATCTAATCAATTTAAATCAAACTCAATCGAATCTATTCGATCTCACGTAATAAAAATTAATATTTTATATATAATTTTAAATTAAGAATATTATTGACATTTCATAATAATAAATATAAAAAAATTAAAATATATATTATAAAAAACTCGATTAAACTCGTCGAGCCTTTGAGTACAAAATATTGAAACTCGAGCTCGAATTTAGCTGCTAACCAAGTAGCTTGTGGCCTTGAGCTCTAAGCTCTATATATATATATATATATAGTAGTAGTTTGTCTAGGCTTAATTAGACTCTTCATCAGCTCAATCATGCATTAGCAGTACAGTACAAATACTGCCCATTTTCATTCAACATCGTACAGTACTACTGCTCATTTCTTACACGTACGTATGTGATTTGTGATGATCAAGGCAAAGAGGAGGTTACTGTGTTTCCGGCCGCCAAGTTGTACCTGTTCGAACTTGCTTGTCGCCTATTTTTGAGCCTCGAAGAACCCCAGCGTATTGCAAAATTGGCAGCCGACTTCAATATTTTCCTCAAGGGGCTCGTATCCAACCCCATCAACTTCCCGGGGACTAGATTCTACAAGGCCCTCAGAGCAACAGCTGCTATCAAGAAACAACTTCTAACCCTAGTTAGACAGAGGAAGGTAGCCTTGCAAATGGGTAGAGCTTCACCTTCCCAGGATCTTCTGTCGCACTTGCTGGTCACTCCCAACCAGAATGGGGCGTTCATGAGTGAAGCCATGATAGTAAACAACATATTATTGCTACTCTTCGCGGGCCACGATACTTCCGCAGCTGCAATAACATCCCTCGTCAAGGCTCTGGGAGAACATCCTCAAGTGTACCACAAAGTGTTTCAAGGTTTCCTTAATTTTTCTATGTACCCTCCTTCAATTTAGCTGTACCACCGATCTCTTATCATAGATCCAGTGATTCATCAATGTACTGTGGATCGATGTACATTAGTACTACGATACACGTTACATATTAGTACTTGATCCTCACGTATATGCCCATCTTTTTTTCTTTTTTGTGTGAATAAGCAGAGCAAAGTGAGATTGCATCATCAAAAGTGGGAGCAGCTGGAGATGATGAGTTGCTTCAATGGGAGGATATACAGAAGATGAAGTACTCGTGGAACGTGGTTTCTGAAGTGATGAGATTGACACCTTCTGGGATCGGGATTTTTCGAGAAGCCCTGACAGACCTCAAGTACGAAGGTTATGACATCCCCAAAGGATGGAAGGTGCATTAATTCATTCACTACTCGCCACTCAGTCTTTTTCTTCACATGTCAATTTCTCCCCACCCCTCAACAACCCAAAAAGAAAAAAAAAACAAAGAAAAAAGAAGAAGAATCATATCAATTAATTGATGGCATGAACTTAAATGTATCATTTGTTGTTGGCTGGACGAACCAACGTTGATGGCCCCGTAACAGTTGTATTGGAGTTCTGCTTTCACGCATAGGGATGCAAATTTGTTCCCAGAGCCCACAAAATTCGATCCATCGAGATTTGACGAGGGAGGAGACCATACTTTGATCCCATTTTCTTACGTATCTTTTGGAGGAGGGCCTCGGATGTGCATCGGGAAAGAGTTCGCAAAGATTGTCATACTCACATTTTTGCACCACCTGGTTAACAGGTTCAGGTGGGATCTGGTTATTCCTGATGAGAAAGTGGAATATGATCCCACTCCTATCCCTGTCAAAGGACTTCCAGTTCGCGTTTTGCCTCACATCCCCTGTGTCCCATGATTCCATTGCTCTGCACTGCAGCTATATTAGTCCAGCAGCTAGACAAGGAGCTAGCTAGTCACCATATCTACCCGGCCAACACCATCATTTCGTATTAGTTTGGCGTTCGTAATTCCACAGTAAAAGCCACACTTTTCCTTGGAGTAATCTTATGTACTGCTGTCAATAATTGTCATCTAGAATAAAAATTCTCACGCTGCTGGCTCTTAAATGAGGATACTGTTTGGATTTAGGAAAAAAAAAAAAAAAGAACAAAAAGAGTGGCTGGGAATTGATACAGTGCGCCTTTTGTAACGAAATGTATGTAAAATTATAATAAAAAATTGTGTTTATGATGCAACTTGAACAACTACGCTGTATTCTCTAGGTGCGAGTTTTCCAAAAATAAATTTCTCAGCCATTACTAGGCCTGTATTATAAATGTAAAAAAAAAAAAAAATGGTTTTCAACTGTTTTAAAACGAGTAAATAAAAAAATTAATAAGGCCAATGTTTATAATAAATTTGTTGTCATCTCTATCAGACTATCAACGTTAGATAGTTCGGATTTGACAAACCCAATCCCAACAAATCGATTCTTATTTATTGGTCCAAAATCCATCCAGCCCACTCCGAGCACCCCCAATCTAATCTCGGCCGAATAATTTATAAATATAATTTTAGTTTTTTAACAACTATAAGTCTATAATTAACAAATATGAAACTAATTCATAAAATTTGGAAATTTTTAATGTGATATGTATCAAGGTATATATGAATTCTTTTGATATAATTATCAAGGTCAATCCTTGTTCAGGTTGAGCCTAATTTGGTCCAAAGTTTTAATTGCGCTCAAACTTTAAAATTAAGTTCTAGTCTGACTAGGGTTGCAAACGAATCGAACCAATTCGTGAGTAACTCGAGTTCGAGCTTGGTCAATATTGAGATCGAGCTGACTAAGTCGAACTTGATCTCAAACTCAAGCTCAAAAATATTTATTTTGTTAGTTCGCGAATCGGTTCGATTATATATATATATTATTTTAATAGTAAAATTACATATATATCTTTAATATTTTATTATTTGTTAAAAAATAATTATTTATTTTACGTTCGAGTTCGAGTTTCATAAAATTAAATAAATTAAGACTCGACTGGATTAGAGACTTGACTTGCGAGTTTGAGTTTCATAAAATTAAATTAAGATTCGATTCGATTAGATTAAAACTCGACTCAGCTTGACACGTTCGCATCCTTAAACTTGACCCCTAATTCAAGTGAAACGTAGCACCATTATTAACGGCTCAAGTTCGTCATAGTTCGGTTAGCTGACAATTTGACCCATCATGCCTCTGTTCCGCTCAAAACCTTGTCTATAACCTTTCTTTACAAATCAAATGATGTTATCGGACCAAACCTGCTTGTTTTAAAAATGGTATTACGTACGAAACACAACAAGTATAAGCAGAACACATTTGTTTTCGACGTACCACATACTTGTTTTCGCATGTAAACACAACATACATATATATAGATATATATATATAGATATATATATATATAAACAGAAAAAACAAGACGAGGGAAATAATAATAATGTGATGGTATCCCACTTTCAGCTTTTAAAGTGATTGATTACCCAACAAAAGATAATGAATTTGATCCCGCCTGTCGGGGGACTCCACATTTTCAAATAACAACAACAACAACAATACGAGGCTCTAATTTCTCCACGCTGCTGCTAACTATAGTGTCAATATTGGATTTCCACTACATTTTGTTGTATCATACTTTGGTATCTCATCACTGAGGTCTCTTCTTATGATAAAGACATCTTGCTTACCGCTCGTCCAATTGATGATTCCATCCCAACCACATTTGGCTCTCTAGCTATGTAATTGGTTTACCTACACAACGACGACGCTCGTCCAATTGATGATTCCTGTAGATTTACTTCGAATTTAAATGAATGAGATTGAAAAAATAAAAGAATTTATTGTGCATGTTTATATGAACACTATTGATGATCACTGATATCTTTATGATATGATTACACAAAATTGATCATATGCAATTGATAATTTACCAATAATGTAGGAGATATGTTTCCATTAAGGAAAAACAGTGGGAAAGGGTATAGCTATTAAGGATGATTCTCACCAGTAACCTTTTGAGTTGAAATCTAATCCTATGGGCCATACAATATATGGGATATTTCACTCTCCCCATTTTTTTTTATAGAACTTTTTTGCTACCTCATAAAATCGGTCCATTTCCTTTTCCTTTTTTTTTTCTACCCGACGGCCAGACATTATATATCCTTTTCTTCTCCTTCTCTGTCCCGATATGGGATATTTCACTCTCCCCATTTTTTTAGAACTTTGCTACCTCATAAAATTGGTTGCATTTCAGTCATGCACAGATTTTACAGGTGGCTCGTGCGGGATTCATCCAATATGGATTACAATTGTTTACTCTTTTGCATAGTCGGAACCATAACATCACTCCTACGCGGAGAGATATGGGCTCTCATGATAGCCTCCCGTAGGTTCTAAAGGTGGCCTCCTGCAAAAATCACGAGTCGGCTCAATAAACTTTTGAGTTGAAATCACAAGTTCAAAATGATTAATTCAAAGTTATTAATAACCCGATGGACCGAACATTATATACCCTTTCTTTTTCGTTCTCTACTTGATGGGCGGGACATTATATACACTTTCCTTTTTCTTCTCTATCCCGATGTAGAACATTTCAATCTCTCTATTTTTTTAGAACTTTCACTCCTTGTAATACTCTCACCATTGTTTTTAGAACTTTGAGTCCTTTAAAATCTATTATAATCCAATTGTCCATTCAGTTGATAAGTTCTAAAACTATCCATTCAATTAATGGAGAACTTTGGATCCTTGTAAAATTTGTTGCAATCCAACTGTCCATTTGGATTGCAACAAATGGGTGGCCTCTATGAGAGTTTAGGTGGCCTCTCACAGAGATCGCGAGACTTATTTTGTTACCATTTGTATTGTTTCGCATCCAATGGATTGGTCTAATAACCTTTTGAACTGAAATCATGGATTCAAAATAATTAACCCAAAATTATTGATAATCTGATGGACTGGATGTTATATACCCTTTTATTTTCCTTTTCTGTCCCGATGTGGGACATTTCATTTGTGGTTTGATTTTTAATCCTCCTCCTTTTTCCTCTTTTCCTTTAAAAGGATTGGAGTCCCCTTTGGATTAAAAAAATGTATCATTTTGAATTAATCATTGATTACTAACTTTTTTGGAAATTATGCTTTGAGTCTATTTTGTCTTTGACCCAAATAAAAATAACTTTTAGGTGGGAACTTGAAACTTCAAAATTTAAAGCTTAATGTGCAGAAACAAAGCTCCTAAAACACATCGTGTTTGATACAATAAAGTCAATAGTGAGAATAATTTTATCCTAGCAAAATATGAAGAAAAAAATGCATTACGGACTTTGCATGGCCTATAGTCAATTAGATAGGAAAAGTCGAGAAGTTGGAAAAGTCGGAAGCAAGAGAGAATGGAAAAGTCGGAAGCACGAAAGAAACCAAGAAGGCACGGCACGGGCACGGACACAGACTGTGTATGCTTTTAAGGTAGAGAGCAACAACAGACTGATTGTTTAGTTGATTCGTTAACTGCAGTTGATGCTACAAAAGCAACTGGAAAGCTGGTTCACGCCTGCTGGAACAAACTCAGCTGCAGGCAGTGGTATTGCAGTGATTATTAAATGATGGCGGCAATAGATATATTCGGTGTCTTTCTTAATATTATTGCACCTCTTCTGGTTACCGGTGTTTTCCTCCGATATTTGACCGCCAGAATAAGAAACAAGAACAAGCAGTCGGGTTTGCGTCTTCCTCCGGGGAGCTTTGGGTGGCCGATTCTCGGGGAAACACTGGAGTTTCTTCAGAGCGGATGGGATGGGGAACCGGGAAGGTTTCTGAAACAAAGAATGGAGAAGCATCAGAATCCTCCAGTCTTCAAGACTTCATTGACCGGTGAGCCTATGGCCGTCTTATCCGGCCCTGCAGCTCATAAGTTCTTGTTTGGCAACGAAAACAAGCTGGTCCAGGTCTGGTGGCCTCCCTCAGCAAAGAAGCTGCTGGGGAATGGGCTGTCTAACTCCGTTGGGGAGGAAGCCAAGCATACCAGGAAGATGCTGTCTTACTTCCTCACCCCAGATGCCCTGATGCGACTCTATATCAAAACGGTGGATCAGGTCACTCAGCACCACATCGCCATTCACTGGCAAGGTATATGTAATCTAACTTACAAAGCATGCATGCGCAGGCTGCAGCTGCTGCTGCGCCCACCACGAGTACATCATTTCTTGCTTCAGCAATTGCCTCCGTGGACATAGGTTAAATTTGTTTTGTTTTACTCCAACAAACGGGGATATATGATGATCTTATCACAATCCAAAAAAGAATCGTGCATGATTCATCTTCAGGAGTAGGAAGCTTTTATTTCTTGATCACTTTTTTTTTTCCCAGTCGAGAACATGACAGTCGATCCTTTTCTCCATTAGTTGCAATACTCAACGGAGCACAACTAGTGTCAAAGGATTAAGCTACCCCATTTTGATGGCATAAAGTATACATTAGTGCAAAACCACTGAACCGCACTTAAGTGTGTGCTATAGCATTAAGACATCTTTTTCACGTTTAACTTTCTCAAGATATTACAATCATGCTGCTTGCTACCGCTTGACCGGCTAATTTAAATTTCCTGCATATGTATATATATGATTAGGATATTAAGACTGAGTTCCAAAATTGCTTCTGAGTTTCTCTTTGAAGGTAAAGAGGAGGTGAAGACATTTCCAGTGGTTAAGTTGTACACCTTTGAGCTTGCGTGTCGACTGTTTATGAGCCTAGAAGACCCTCGGCACATTGAAAAGCTTGCTGCCCTCTTCAATGTTTTCTTGAAAGGCGTCATATCCATCCCCCTCAACTTCCCAGGGACAAGATTCTATCGTGCCATCAGAGCTACAGGAGCTGTTAGGAAGGAACTGATGGTGATTCTCAAAGACAGGAGACTGGCCTTGGAACAGAAAACTGCTTCCCCTTCACAAGATCTTTTGTCGCACTTGCTTGCATCTCCGGATGACAACGGAAAGTTCATGTCTGAATCGGAGATCATAAACAACATTTTACTGCTACTCTTCGCTGGCCATGACACTTCGAGTGTTGCCATAACACTAGTCATGAAGGTACTAGGGGAACTTCCACAAGTTTATCAAAAGGTCTTGAGAGGTCAGTTTTCCCAATTGCTAAATTAATTGGTTGACTGCGTGATATGATGTTGATGGTGTTCCTAATGAAGACATATTCTTAAACCTTAAGTGGAAAAAAAATCATGTATGAGCTAACCTTAAGTGGAAAAAAAATCATTTTGCATTTGACTGGCCTCCACGAAAGTGAGAAAACACTTTAATGTTATGTTTTGGAGTATGATAGTGACTATACAAAATTGATGCTTGTTTGAATACCTTACTTAGTGCTAATCATGATCACTGATGGCTTGGCTCCAAAAACAGAGCAAACTGAGATTGCTTCATCAAAAGGAGCGGACGGATTCCTGCAATGGGAGGATATACAGAAGATGAAGTACTCATGGGATGTAGTCTGTGAAGTCATGAGACTCTGGCCACCAATAATGGGAGCTTTTAGAGAAGCAATCGTTGATTTAAATTATGCTGGTTATGACATCCCCAAAGGATGGAAGGTAGTCTCATCTTCTGCTAAATTATTTCTGTTAATATCCATTCATTCCCACAAACCAGGCAACTTTTGACCAAGTTGCACAAAAATGGGGAAAAAATGCAACTGCTTCTTCAGATTACAGTTGATTGCACTGAGTAACATTTTCTCCATGAACTGATTAAACATTATTTGCTGCTACAACAGCTATACTGGACTCCCGCTTCGACGCATACAGATCCCAGTTTCTTTCGGGACGCCATGAACTTTGATCCGTCAAGATTCGAAGGAGCAGGACCTACACCTTTTTCTTATGTTCCTTTTGGAGGAGGACCTCGTATGTGCTTAGGGAAGGAGTACGCTCGGGTGGAGATATTGGTCTTTCTCCACAATGTGGTAAACAAATTTAGATGGAACTTATTGGTTCCTGATGAGAAGATAATCTATGATCCCATGCCCACCCCTGTTGAAGGACTTCCAATCTGCCTTCGCCCTCACAATCCTTAAATGGGTTTACTTGTATATTACAGTGAGACAATCCGGGCATGTCTGTCGTTTAACTACAGTTTGTACCCTGTAAGTGTAAGCTACACTGCTACTGATATCTCCTTCTTGGCATCGGAGAAAAGCAAAAGGTGTTTACAGTTTCTGAGTTTTCCATCGCAGATGGCATGAACCAATATTCCACATAACCATGATACAGTCAAATCAAATTAGGAGGAAAGGGAGGAAGGAGGGCGGGAGGGGGGGGGGCATAATGTTCTTCATCGTCTATATTTCATATATCAGTCTCCATCCATCAGCACAGTGTTGCTTGTTATGCAAAGTAGTAGGAAATCGTTGGGTCTATGCATGCAAAATAGCAAAGTTGAATAGGGTTGTCCCGAGTTCAATATCCAAAGAATTCATTTCTTTCTCCAGATGTTTCCATACAGATAAATACATATTATGTTTACTCTGAATATAAAATTTTAAAAAAAAAGTGAAAATTGAATCAGCAGTTAAAGTATCTGAAATATCTGCAATTACCTAGGCTAAACGATGCTATAGACAGATTTTACTAGTAGGAACCTCCTTTCTGCAGATCCAAAATTCTTGGTACATGGAGAGCCAGCTTTCAGCAGTAAAACAAATCTATCATTCTATTCCTTCTTGAATATGCCAAATATTGATTTAATGGCATTGAGAGCATTCTCATTTATAAATGATTCGTCAAACCTTTTTAACAGAGACTCAAATTCCTCAGACGTCCTTAAGTTGGCCAAGTCAGGATCTGTCCGGATTCTCTGCAAACATAGGACAACAGTACACAGTATGAACCCAAAACTATGACTTAGTACTCCATGGTGTGAAATTATTTTCTTTTCTTTACCTTAAAATCCTCAAATCCTGCTTCGAGAGAATCCTCTAGGGCAGATAGTCCAGCTTGTACCTGTCATGGTGAGTCATCAGGTCAAAGAATTAGGAGGACAGCAAAACATTGGCTCGTGCTGCATACACATTCAAGGCTAAAATATCATAACTGAACTGATGCAGCAGCACCTGTGCCATGTCAAATAGAATAACTAGCACAAGATTTCCATATACAAGTCCCCGTCCTCTGGTGAGTTAAGGAAGGGCGATGTGTGATCCAGACGATGCCTAGTATGTTTTCAATCATAGTAGAATGCTATTTTATTTAATCTGCTACTCTACCTGATTAAGTTTGGAGTAACAGCATGCAACATTGTAACTTGCAACAGCAGCTTCATTATATTCTGGCCTCGATCCCAGTACTGACTCAAATTTCTCCAATGCTTCTTCATATTTGCCACTCCTTTATCAGTTAAAAGATCATATGTTAGGCAAGAAATATTTTGCACAAAAATCAACTCTCTAAATTTTTTGTACAAGAAATATTTTGTACCTGACATGGTAAGTGCACGACAAGCATAAAAGAAAAAAGGATAAAAATGACAAATATGGACAAGATTATTGCAAGTGTTCTCCTTGTTCTAGAATGCAACATTTTAAACCTCATAGTGGGTGTGAATACACAATTGACAGTGAAAAGAACAAGATAAAAAAGTAATTTGACTAATAAAAAACGAATAATTAAACAAACATCATGAAGCATAACACCCAACAGAAAGCAGATATAAGTAAATATGATAAGCATAGACTGTAAGAATGGCGGCTACGGAGGTCCGGTTGGTGGTAGCTGTAGTAGTATCTCTAATGTCATTTATTATTAACTACACGATCTTAGCAAATTGAAAAGCAAAGGTCAATAAGCCTTTGTTGAACTGCACAATAGAATTATCGAACATAAAAACAAAAGGCATTGAATTAAAGGAGAAAATAAAAATACATGAACATGGAACTTATTTTCAAAAAGAAAAAATTACAATTCAGATAGATGGATGGACTGGCCTTACTTGTAAAGCTGCAAGCCTTCGCGAAGGTCCTTTTCTCTTCGCTCTTTCTGTTCCTTCTTTTTCATGGCATTTGCCAGCTGCATGAATTGTGCGAAGTCATCAGCATTACAGTGGATTTTACTCATACTCCAACGAGGAGCAAATTAGTTGTATGCACGCACTTACCTGAATCTCTCTGACTCTGTTACTAATTACACCAGAGTTTCTCTCAGCTTTGATTATTTCTTTTTCAGTTAAATCACCCATATCGGGCACCTTCCCTGCAACATAAGGAGACATTTTGCCAGTGGAGTTAAGGCAAACCTTGAAAATGGAATTACGGGGCAGTGTTTCAGGAAGTTTAGACTTCAAAAATGAACACCATTCGAACTCTTTACAACATAAATGCAGAGGAAGCAGGAGCCAGGAGAAATTAGTGTTGATAAGAGTAGAACTGACCATATCTCTTCTTCATTTTCATTAATAATGGGCCTATCCTCTGTCGGATGGTATACATTGTTCTTCCATATTCTGCTGCCGGCCAAATCTCATCTCCAAATACTGCACTGCATAAATTTTAGATGATGGGGTTCACAATCTTAATCTTAATCTTGGTCTTGGTGGTGTGATTGTAACAAATGCCAGCGAATAAAAACTTTCTTCTCTTCTTGAAATAATAAATACAAGGAAGACGAAAGACAGCTAGAAGGTACGATTTCAGAAACAGGACAATATTGTAAATAAGCATTCACTCACCGCAGCATCCATCTCAGGCTGAATATAATCCCTGCAATCAATATGAATACTACTAACTTACTTACTTTGGATGTTGTCGATGTGGTCAAGTATTATGTGGGAGACAATGAAATATGAAATCCACTCAGATAATCAGAGAGAGAAAAACTCGCACCTGGTGGCAAGCACCTTATCCCCTACAGTGAACAAGCCGGTCCGGTCAGCCGAGGCACCGGGCGCAATAGCATCAATGTAAGTTCCACCATCTCTGCCCTTGGTAAACCTCAACCCAACTGGCTGATCCAAGACGACCTCGTACTCTTCATACTCCTCGTCGTCGTCTGCTGGTTCTTCTTCTTCTTCTTCTTCTTGTGTCTTTTTAGCCGCCGCAGTCTTGGCTTCGGTTTCGGATGCTTTAGCAGCAAAGAAATTATTATTAGAGTGGTTTGACCTGTGAAAGAGGGGGTCGGAGAAAGTGAGGGAAGCGGAGAGAAAGAGGTGATTCTTGGCCTGATTATGGTTTTTGAGGGATGATGGGCCTTGCTTGGTTAATAATGTTGGGAAAGCTGGTGGTGAGGGGCACAGAGAAGTACAGCCACTGGAAGCAAGCGACATGATGATCAGTTGATGATTATTCGCGTGGCTCTGCGACGGCGGGTATTAGTATGATTACGGAGGAGGGAGGGAGTATGGGCGGTGGAGCAACCGCTGCAGCAGCAAATATGCTTCGCGGAAAGGAAGAGATGACGAAGGAAGGAAGGAAGGGGAGACTGACACTAGTGGCTCTAATAGGCCGTTGAGTTGAGCTGAGCTAGTATTCAAATCTGTGGTGCCACGTGTCTCGATGATGGCGGGTGGGCTGGAATTGGAATTGTGGGCTAATTCATCGCATCAATGATCAAACTCACAGCGGCGGAAATGGAAAAACTCCCTCCGCATCCTTCATTCAGTCAGGCTGATTTGGTACGAACCAACCCCTGCCAGCCCCAGTAGTATAGGACAACACAAAAGCTTCCCTTTTCTCTCTAGTCTCCACAACCAACCCATTAAAAAAAAAAAAAATTTTTTTCCACCGAGAAGAGAGAGCCCACCCACCACGCTCTCCGGTCCGGTCTTCACCTTTTTTTTTTTCCCCTTTGGATAGGACGCCTATTAACCAGCCCGCAAAATTAAGACAGTAAACAAGTCGAATCAAATAAAATTTTAACCCAATCGAATTGAACCTTAATTTACTTTTATCGAACTCAAACGCAAACTCAAGCTCGTGCACGAGGTTGACAATTTCAAACTCGAGTTCGAAAAAATAAAAATAATTATTTTAAAAAAATTAAAATAATATTTTTTAATAAATAATAAAATATTTATATTTATATATATATATTCGAACTTACAAGTCAGCTTGCAAATCAATTAACTTAATATTTTCAATATTTTCAACTCCAACTCAAGCTTGGGCTAGTAGCATGAGTTGGCTGAACAAATATGATGGATTGGAGGTCAAATAGATGTGGCTGTGATCAATGTTATTTGGATGAAAATAGCTATGCAAAATTAAAATTTAAAATTCAATTTTTACACACATATCATAAATCACAAATCGAACGGTAACAGTATATACACTGCCGGTGTACAGACACGCACTAGCAAATTCAAGCATCGCTGTGCCGTGCCCAATAGCAGCACACTAATGGCAATAAGGAATTAGGCCGCACGGGTCTGGAAATATATTTATCAGCACAAACATTAAACATACGGCCACCGAATTACTAACATCTCATTCCTGATGATAATAGCGCTGCACCGCGTGGCAGACACTGTATAATTCGAAAATCAAAGGGAATGGAATGTATTACCATTACCACAAGACAAGTAAAATAGTAACAGTAGTAGTAGTATCAATCAAATGTTTTCACCACTCAAATCAAGAATGCAATCCATACATTGAATTTCAACAGATGCCGCATCCCATCCCGGTAGGCCTCCAGGATATTAACTTCCTCGTTCAAACAATTAAAACTCAATTTACAAAAAATAAAATTTCACTTGCACTAATTACCATCAGTACTTGTGGGTGGGGGGGACTGAGAGGCAGGATTAAACTGCCTTGTGCACCACCAACCAACCAACCTCCTCCTCCTCCTCCTAAGGCTGCACCTCGGCATATTACCTACTTAGTAGCCGTATCCTGGCATAGAAAAAAAAACCCACGACGGGATTTCAATGCCTCATCTATACATCATCTGTTCAAATAAATTCAATATATATATACATATGCATATACAGAGAGAGAGAGAGAGAGCACAGCAGGTACCTGAATTATCCATCGGGTTTCCAGCAGCAACTGGTTCAGGCTCTTTAATTTCAACTACTACACAATCTGACATCAAAAATGTCTTTGCAACAGATGCTGCATGCTCTATGCAACATCTAACCACCTGAAACATAACAACAAGTATACAAACTATTACACCCCAAAAATACTACTGACATCAACACCTTAAAATCATATCAATCTTCTATATGGTAC